TGGACGGTATCTATCGGTATGGCGGGGAAACAATATCTATGGATTAATTGTTTGGGCCTGTTTGACTGACCTGATCCATTTAATATCCCTTTTGTACATTTTTGTCTCAGAGGGTTTAACTCAATCCTTTATGACCTGATGACGGTGTTGCGTAAGAAGTTTTTTGTATTCTGCTACTGTCTCATAGATGGCACTAGGATATTTCAGATTGCTTTTTGGGCGCGAAAATACAGTATTTAACTTCTAGAATACGTTGACTAATTTTGGCTCTACAGGCAAACGAGTAGAACTGTGTTTTTCATAGTGGCCGGTCCAACACTTGCAGTAACTGGTGATATTTCATACCAGCCTGCAATTTATGAAATTGGGGGTTTTTAAAGAAAGAAAATATATAATAACTTAATTGTTTTAAACTCTGGGATAACTACCAACCCAGGTATCCATTGTGCGCTGAGAGATTTACGACTTTTTCAGAAACATCCAACTTACGAGTCGTTGATATTTTATTTGTTTTTTTTGCATCCAGGTATCAACACATAGCAGATAATTAGATACAAAGGCTCGCAAAAATGGATGTTTCAGGGGAATGAGATATTACAATTATATAGTTTTAGTTGCTGAGACGAGAATCACCCTAGTATTGTTGAGAACTTAGAAAAACTTTTTAAATATAGTGCAGTGAGTTTTTTATAGAGATGCAGCCGCCCAGGCATTGCGACTGCTATAAGGAGTTTAAAGACACTTTGTTAATCGGAACTTTGAAGTGACTAAGGTTGAAAAAGGCCAATGAGGACATATTCGAACTTAGGTGTTCAAACAAAGCCACAGTGACGTGATATGGCTGTCGTGAATTCAGCAGATATTCGAAGATTCTGACTTGAAACAGACCATGTGAAATTACAGGCACTTAAGCAAGCATAATAGACATCAAAGTTTTGAAAAATGTTATTCGATATGTTTTTATAATCTATAAATAAATATACTCTTGACAGTGGAGCAGCGGCTCCGATTACTGTTGTCCCATATTTGCATGCAGCTCAAAAGATGACAATAAACCTAATCGATCATCCTTTATTTTCACAATTTCCAACTGCTTTCGCATAGATCAGCGGTTACTGAATTTGCATGTTCCTACCACTATACCAACGGATCCTGTTCTCCGTCATGTTATTTCTTTCATGATTCACTGGCCAACTTCCTATATTTCCGTTTGATATATTGATTCATTTTTTGAATGGGCCAAGCTATCAAGCTGAAATTTAGAGTGATGAAATTAATGCATGAATTCTTTAACGTAAAAGTGACAGTTGAAAATAAGACGGCGACTGGCCGCCATCTTGGAATATTTTTTAGATGGAATGGGTCTCTTTTTCAAGCTCCTTATCTTTAATCCCACAGCAAATGACGAACTGGCGGGCTGTCACAGTTGAATGTTTTTCTATATAGAATCCCTCGCAACTCAACAACATGCCACAGCATGTTCAATCTTCTTTCTTCAATAAAATATGGTACAAGCTAGTAATATAGTTTTCGTACATTCGACCACAGATACAACCATAGACAGCTGTTCCGTGCTTTTCGGCAACTCATCATCATGGTCTAGGTAGGGCAACGAACCGATTAAACAAATTCACAGTTTTTGACAATTCTTTTGAGTGGAATGATACATACTTTATTCAAAATTGTCAATGTCTTCTCAACAACGGGCTGGTGTTCCTCAGGGTTCGGTCCTAGGACCAGTCCTTTACTCGCTTTTTATCCTTGATATCCCTTGCCCCAGCAACTGTGAAGTCGGCAACCTCTATGCTGACGACACTGCACTTGTCGCCCAGTCGTGTACTGGTGATCTGGTTCACGATGAGTTGCAGAGTGTGGTGGACGAAGTACTAGAGTGGGCGCAACGGTGACTGATTAAAATTAATCATGCGAAAACGCAGGCTATTTATTGTACCAAAAAACGTCAGCCCCCAGCCGAGGTTGCTGTAGACAGAAACCGTCTACCATGGACAAATTCTGGCAAGTATCTTGGTGTCACCCTTGATAAAGGCATGACCTGGCAGAAACATACAGCAGCTTTGAAAACAAAATTCCAAATTGCGTTTCGGTAACTATATCCTTTGATACTGAGTTTGATAAACAAAGTTCGACTATATAAAATGGTTATTAGATTATTATAGCAGAACTTTACGAACCATTTGCAACGCTCCATGGTTTTTCTCAAATGAGACTCTACACAGAGCCAATGATATTTCTTACTTGGGGGATCATGTCAAGCTTCAGGCGTAGCGACGTTATAGTCATGCGGAATCGCATAGCAACCCTCTGTTGCGTGACTCAGTGGACTACACAGTGGAGCAAGTTCGTAAACATTCAAGGTCAAAAAAACTTTCCAAAATTGAGCCGATCCGTTATCTTGATATTTTCAATTGCCACTTTTCCTCCAAAATGCAGTATCATGCACCAACTTAACTTGGCCCGTTAAAAAAAATGTGGAAGAACGATGTATGTATATCTAGGTATAATAAGTTCGATCACTCCTGAATACAGAAATATACAGCTTCCTCTATTCTTCTCATTGAATAAGTTCAAAAGTGGTATTGTATCCTCAACCTTTTTGAGACCACTATCGTACTGTGGTATTAATTTTTTACGTTCTCGGCCATTTCACTATTTAAATTGCCTTACTATGAAGTTTCATTTGCTTGTATTGTAGATTTTAGGCATGCGGAAAACATCCTAGTACACACCTCATCACTCCTTATTTAAACCAATTGGTCATAAATTACTTGTATCCATCTAATTCTAAAGTGATTATTTCACATTCCAAAGCTCTTTGCTCATTATTTTAATCGTGAATTTCTCGTCTCATGTTATTTTACTGAGAATAAAATGACATTCTTCTGTATACCCGCAGAGTAATTTACATTTCTTTCCGAACCCCCAACACATATATCCAAGACTTTATGTACCAATTCCATTTCCAGTTAATCTGATAAGACCTTCGTCACTCAGGATTTACAAAGATTAAAGAAATGTCAGGGCCGACCATAGGCCGAGACCCCTAACCTCAATTTATTGCCGCGTTAAGAGACGCCTTCGGTTTTTTCGGCCTGACCTGCTTTGACTTATTGTGTGAAATTTTGTTATCGGAATGGTGTTCCTAAAAAACATGGTGTCAGCTTGGATACGGCTCTATTATTGCCTGAAAAGAAGACGGGGCGGGGCGCTTCCTTGGTCGAATTGACTAACGGATTTTTCTTGGAATTGGGCTGCTGAGTCTGGTGAGGAATGAAATGCCCAATGAAGGTTTTGTAAAGCTGCAGCAGTATTTACAAATTTCAAAATTAAAAATATAGGCAAACAGATTTTTTAGAAATTTTGTTTTCAAAGTTGATTCATTCATTTTAACAGCTTATTGAACTCTTCAAAAGAAGTCGTTATACCAAAAATTACGTTTATAAAAGTTACATAATAAGGGACTTGAATACCGCTTTTACAAAAACTGTTCAAAATTGTCCCATTCCTTCCATCAACGCAAAATCGGTGTTTTCGTTACAGGCGTTTAGGCAACACTCACAGCTACCACAAATGAATATCGAGTAAATTCCAGCTAGTTCCAAGGTTACACTTTTTTCGGAAAAACCTATATAATGTCATTAAACATCTAGACAGGTTACACTTGTATTGCAGTCTGAACAGCCTTTATCCCAACATGGAGAAATGTTTGTCAATTACGTTCTCAAAAAATAAAAATCTTTTTTGTGTCGTAGACCCCTTGCCATGTTTTTCCGTGTTGGGTAGACCCCCTACTTACCTGATATTGATTTCCTGTAAATTTCTAACTGTAGTGAAGTTTAGTGTTAAAAACTTAAAGTAAAAACACATGTTAATTTATACATTTATTAATTGAATTTAAATTAAAACTACTCAAAATAAAATTTTGTATCTGTTATGTAAAATATATGTAACATTAAATAAAAAGGTGTCTGACCAATAAGTGCCCGCATTGGGAATAAGTGCCCGCATTGAAAAAAAAAATAAGAGGGATAAAATAAAAAAAAGTGAAAAATAAAAAAAAAGTTTTTTACTTAAAATAGTACAATAAGCGAGTTCGTTTATTAATTATAACATAAACGTACGTTCTATAATAATTTCACTGTTAGTTTGATTAAATTCCATTTCTTATATATTTAAGTTATCTAAAAATAGGCAAAAAATTAACGAATTTTAGTGTGTACCTACCTATCCTTGAATTTTCAGAATAATTTTAAAGGGGGGTTCTTTAAAAAATCAATGCGGGCACTTATTCCCCATGCGGGCATTTATTGGTCAGACACCAATAAACATAAAATAAACTATAAATAACATAAGCAATAAGTCAATATTTTTAGTGAGAAGGATGAACCTGATGCTTTAATAATAAATTATCAACATTTGGCGTCAATTTTGTAAGGGTTAATCTTAAATCTCCTCGGCTAATGATGTCCAGTCTGTTTCTTTTTTTGTTAGGAGATTGGTAACACCCCCTTTCAACTAGGTATGACGATGGAAAGGAAATTAAAAATTTCCTCGCTATATTCCATAATACGGGTATGTTGTTTTGCAGCCAGAATTGCTGATATCCGTTTTTAAACTGAACCTTAAGTTCTTCGTTTGTCCTTAGTTAAGTCAGTTCCTCTTGTATTATGTATTCGTTTCTTCTATATCACCATATGGATTAATTATCCACGGTGGTATTACCATAGTCAAAATATCCTCAAACCTAGATTCAAAATCTGAATAGAGGGCATTTAAATGTTGAACGTAAGTTGAAACGTCGTCTTCCTGGCAGCTTGTCTGTGACAAATTGGGGAACTGAGAAAATTCGCCCCATCCAATATTTTGCTTCATTAGTTTAACTCTGGCAAGAAACGCTGATAAGATGGACTTTGTTTTAATCAAATTTAAACTGTCGCCTTGTAATTGCAAATTAACCATATTAAGTTTTGTAAACAAATCAATTAAATAGGGCGATGTCTGTTTCCTCTTCATTAAATTTTCTTTTAAAATTTATTCTTTAGTATCCAGAAATTCTAAAATAGTCTCAAAAAGTGCAAAAAATCTTGTCAAACATAAGCCTTTCGACAACCAGCGTACTTCAGTGTGAAGGAGTAATTGATCAAAGTGTTCGTCATTTTCTTCACACAACTGCGCAAATAACCGCGTATTCAACGCGTTGCTTCGGATTCGGTTAACTGCATCAATGACTAAATGAAGTGATTCATGCAATCTAACACTCAACTTTTTAGCAACTAAATGTTGTCGATGGATGACGCAATGTATTGCTAACACCCCTGACACATTTTGTTTTAAATAGCTTATAAATCTACGATAACGTCCAACCATGACAGGTGCTCCATCTGTAGCTACTGATATTATATTTGATAAAGGAATTGCTTTTCTAATGAAGTAATCCTTCAAAACATGAAATATTGATTCACATTCAGTGTCGGTTATCAAAGTTCTTGCGAAGAGCAGTTCTTCGTAGATTTCTTGATTCATAATAAAACGAACATATGCCAATAATAATGCTGCATTATCAGGTAAAGTTGACTCCTCCAGTTGTATAGAGAAATGGGTCGTTTGCAAATAATTACATAAGAAGCTTTCAATATCAGAACTTATTTCATCAATACGTCTTTCAACAGTCTTGTTGCTTAAGGGAATTCTTTTAATGATATCAGATGCAGGTTTGTGTAAAACAGTTTTTAAAACCTCTTCAACGGCTGGCAGAATTAACTTATCTCCGATAGTATGCGGTTTTCCGGATTTTGCTATAAGTAACGAGATATTGTAAGATGCCCGCAAACCATCATCATTTCTTTGTGACGTCGAAGCGAACATTCTGTCCAGTGTAGGTCTCTTCTGAAATTCATCTTTGAGTGTTTGAAAGTATTTCAAATCTTTCTCTGTTTTATCAGGGTGGCATCTTCTCAGATAGATGGTTTCATAGCGTCACTACCCAAAACTTTGTTGCATAAAAGGCACATAGGCGATTGTTTGTCCGGCAATGATGGAATGAAGCCAAATTTCAAATAATCAACACTGTACTGTCTACATTTCTTTTTAGATTCGGAGATGGCATCAGTCATCTGTGGGCAAAATTAAATTATTTAAATAAGACAGAAAATCCAGCAGCTGTATATTAAAAATATTTTTTGATTTTTCCGAAAACATTCCATAATTCGAACATCTTCTTCGAACAATTAGCTCGAATTACGGAGATTGCACTATAATTATATTACCGATTGCTAAAACTTTCAAAAAGAAACTATTGAGGAGTACTCGTGTAATTTTGCATGATTGAATATTTAACTACTAATAACCTAAGTCATGATTGGCGTAATTTATCTATCTTTGCTAACTACGAGTACAATACTAAAATTTAATAAAAAATAATGTACTTACTTTTCTCCAGCACTCTCAAACAAAATAACACTGACTCACTATAATTTGTGTGATATGCTATCTGTTTATATTTTTTTAAATATTTGCTTAGCTCTTTCCTTTTCAAGATTCAGGAAACGAATAAACGTATTTGTCCCACATTCGTATTTATAGAGTGACGAATTGAACAAGTCAGTGCAAGGTAGCGAAGCTCTGAGACTGCGACTCTCAGGTTTTTACAAGTTCAAAATGTATTGCGACCACAAAGCGAATACCAACATCCTACAACTTACACAATTTTATAAATATATATAATAAATTTTTTACTTCATAGGTACTTTTATAAATAATGTATATGTATATGATATTATAAGATAGTATGACGTAAGTAAATAGGTACTATCTGTGTATGTGTTGAGATCCACTATCGTGGACCCACATATTCATTTCATGGACCCCCAAATTATTTTTCGCTGACGTAGACCCCCAATCGACTTGTTCTCGAGCAATGTTAATATATTTAAAATTAAACTAAGACAACTTTTTTTAGATCGACTGCAATATTTGGAAAATGATTAGGACTATGTAAAGAATATGCTTATATTATCGATATTACTGTTATATATTGTTGTTAGTGCTTTACTTTTAACAGTATATTATATGTAAACCCGGTTATTACAGTTCTAAGCTTTGTGGAACGTCTGTTCTGTCGTACCCCTAACTTGTAATAAATAAAAAAAGAATCACATTGAAGTTCACAGTAATCGAAATAAGAAATATCTTTCATTTTGGGTGCTCGACATTGTGTAAGAAAAGTATATTGTGAACCAGAAATTCGATCATGTTATATGAGCGTCAATTTTTGGGACACCTTATATCCTATTATCATCACACTGGAACCTTAAAGCAATTTTCTAGCTAGGCGAAAAGATATATTGCACATATACCTTGCCAACCCTGAACATAACTTAGACGATAACCGCTGTTGATAAACATGTCAACTCTTAAACCCCTGCGACTTTAGTATGGGAAATCTTTTTACGACATTTTATTATCTGCAATAAATATGTTTACATTTCGGCATTCACTCACCGGAAAATTCGTTTGACAACGAAATCGGGCGATAAAACATTTTATTGTCCTCTTACTGTTATTATATAGACGAATTAAAAATGTAAGTCGTCTAGGATCACTTTTATGTGCTTCCATTGGGGTTATTCTGGGACATACACACCCATGGCGCTTAGGTGAAACGGTGTGAAATTTTTCGTAGCGAAGTACAATAGTGCAATTTTTATTGCTTGGCGCTGAACAAAAAGTATAAAAACGTATGTAAATAAAAAATACCTAATAATACCATAACGACTGCTCCAGATAAAAAATATTTTGAAGCACGTTTTACGCCTTGCAATCGTTATCTGTCATCACGAGCGAAAACTTTTGTTGAGTGCTTGATATGTCTTTTTCACAGTGAGGGTTATGTTGGATATAAAACTTGTGAAGGCGCTACTTCATTTTATGACATCCATTTGTAGCTTGGTACGAAATAGTACAAGCCTCTAATATAAATCTTTCAAAGACCTGCCATAGGGCGATATAAATAAGATGCATAAAGCACTGTTTTGACTATGCCCTAAGTCAGTTCATATTTTAAAAATATGTAAAAATCATAGAAGCTTCCGCAAACTTTATAAATTCTCATAATAAACACAAGCAGCGGCAACACTGCGGTGAGCGATCTGTTCGAGAACGATCTCGATTACTTGGAACGGAAGAAATACGCGCGGCGACAGTGTGCTCAGTTTAAAACTGAACGCCACAAAGTCCAGCGGTTGGGTTAGAGTTGGCCTGCAATTAAAAACATTATGAGCAGTAGTAAGAAGATGAAGACGTACCGTTTCCATTCGGAAAGGGAAGAACAATATTTCTTTACGAAAGTTAAAGGTACAAATGTATGTTTGTTATGTAATACATCTGTTTCCGTTCCTAATGAAGGAAATATAAAACTGTACATTCGTATTTTGAAAAATCATTCCCATTACGTTCTGCAACCAGAACGGAAAAACTGAAACAATTAAAAAATCAGTTAACTGTTTTTAAAAACAATCGACAAAACTAAGTCTGCAACTGAAGTATCATACCTGGTGTCACATATAATTACACAAAAGAAGAAACCTTATGAAGATGGAGAAATGATAAAACAGGCGTTTTTAGAAGCTGCAGATTCATTATGTGCCAACTTTAGAAATAAACACGATAGTGTCTGCTATAAAATCTAGCGATTAGACGAGTAGAAGTAATGAGCAATGATATAGTTTTACAGTTAAGAAATGACTTCGATAACTGTGCTTATTTTTTTTGCTGCAGTTGGATGAGTCCACAGATGTCGTTGACACTTCTCAGATCGATGTGTTCGTCAGGATGGTTTTTAGTTATTTTACGATTAAAGATCTTTTGAAGTTTACCCACTAAAAGCGCAGGGCAGGGCTTGTTTCGTTCTTTTAAAAATATTATTTCTTCGGAGAAAATTCCAATATCGAAAATGGTATGCTTGACAACCGATGGCTTTCCAGCTATCGTGGGTCGTGATAAGGGTCTCGTGAATATGAAAGTTTTCCGCAATTTGTCTGTTACCACTGCATTATCCATCAGCGAGCATTATGTGGATTTTCTAAAACTAAACAACGTTATGAAATTGGTAGTATAGTTTGTGAAGAAGATTAGAGCTCAAGCGTTACAAAAAAGATTATTCAAAACCATAGCCGATGAAATTGACTGTCAATACCGGTAACTACTTCTTCACTCTGAAGTCCGATGGTTAAGTAGGGGACGATCTGCCATAGTTCAATTTTTCAAACAACGTAATGAACCGATTGCGGAACTGGAAAATTAAATCTGGCTTAGAGATTTTGGTTTTCTTGCGGATATTACAGAAAAATTTAATGAACTTAATTTGCAGCTTCAGCGGGAGACAAAGATCTAGCAGAAATGATTTCTGATATAAAAGCGTTTATCAAAAAGCTTGAGTTTTGGGACAAAGGCGATACCAGGCATTTTCCTGTTCTTTTAGAAAATATATCTCAAAGTCCATTAGAACCATATGACAGTGATAATCATGTCGAAATAGTCTCTAATTGAAGGATAGCTTCACAAATCGTTTCAAGAATTTCAACAAAATTGCTAGAGTGGAGCAATTTGTTGTTTAACCCTGGATATTGATATTCAACAGTTTGCAACTTCTGTTACACAGAATTTTAGCGAAGAGATCGCTGCGATAGAAACGGAAGTGATGTGTTTCAGAATGATTTAGCTTTAATTCATTAGTCTCAAATACAAAATGTATTTGGCCTTCAGAAAGTAGAGATAGATATTGAGTTTTATGTCATGTTGCCTTGAAAATGAAAGCGTACGCGAACGCATGTACGCAATACCTTCTTTTTCAAATTTATAATAAAATACACCGAGGCAGAAACTATTTATACAAATGAAAGTGTTGCGAACTCCCCTCGCAATAAAAACAAAACAATGAGAATTCAACTTTTTTTTTATTGGCAATGGTGCAACGCTTTCATTTCTGTATATGTGTTGTGTCTCTGTGTGTTTTATTATAGATTTGAAGTACTAAGAGTTGTGCCCATGCGCTGATATAAAAATAGTAAGTTAGGTGATCAGAAATCGGTGAATTTTGGACAAAAATAAAAAAAAAAAATAAAAAGAAAAATGTTGACGAATCATCTTACAAATATGGCATTTTTAGAGTTGAAAAGACTTCTCATTTAACCCTGATTCTTTCACCATAATCGGTGCAGCGTCTTCTCAGATTATGACCGTAGAAGACGTAAATGAATGAACAAACGTATCTGAAATTGAAAAATTTTCGTGATCGCAATACTTCTTTCGTTGAAGCTCAGGAAGTATCCAACATGCCCGTGGAGGTGGTCACAGTACCGTATGAAGTAAGGTATGCTTTTCGTATATTC